GAGGCCGGTCGAAAGCGAGTTCAGAGTTCAACGTGGTGTTTGACGTAGGTATAACGTGAAAATACGGCGGAACGGTGTGCATTTCGCTGGTGACCGACCGGGATATTGCCACGGAAGAGACAATCTGACCTACGTTGCTAGGACCTCGGATTGATTCGGATACCGCTAGGATAAAATTTAAGGCGACGTTTCTGTGCTCTCGTTTACCATCGGAATCTTCGAGGTTTTCAGTGAAGCGTGTGCAATATATTTGGATACACATTTTAGCGACGGAAATTGCGTGAGTAGTGCTTGGCGGTGTGCAATCGTGGTGCAGCTTCGATCAAATGACCGAGGGCTTACTTCGGTTGTGCGGCGCACCGGAAGGCTGCCTTGAAGCTGGTAGTTCCCGTGCCGTGCTGAATGATGCTGTGCTGCTTACAAATTGTTCCGGCGTAGAAGTGCACTTTCACGGAGCACAGGTGTGCGGCGCACCGAAGAGCTGCCTTCAAGCTGGTAGTTCCTGTGCCATGCTTTAGGTGATGCTGTGCTGCTTCCGAAATTGTTCCGGCGTAGACGTGCACTTTCACGGAGCACAGGTGTTGCAGTTGGTATTGATCCCGCTGGTCTGTCGCACGTTTCGTCAACACAAACGTTTCATCCACACTCGTTACGCGAATTGCAAGCTGTCCGGACATTGCATCGAGCGTGTTACGTACCCAGCTCACGCCGCTTTGTGGCAACAGTCTGCAGTGGCTCATTACCAGAAAAGTGGTCCCACATCCATTTCAGTTCAGTTCGTCCACGGCAGTCGCCAAACCCCGAAGGAGAGGATTTATTCGGACAGAAAGCCACTAAAGCAATGCAGCTTCTTCAGTGGTCAGGATAGATTCTCTTCTGCGAGTTTTGTTATACTGTCACGGATCCTTGTTCCAGTCCTAGCTTCTATCAATATTCACTATTCTGGGACACTGCAGGTCATGCTCAGCAGTAATCGTATGTTGTGGTGGAGGTGCTGGGCACCCATAGCCCTTCACTCTGTGTGAACCCGGCGGCTCTTCAGCCGAGTTACTCGATAATGGGACACGGCTGGCGGACTATCCTGCGTCTTACACCCCCGTCGAGCCGTGAGCAAAGTCCTGACCCGATCCTGGCAGAACAACCGCAAGACGACCGAATACCACAAAAAGTAACCTCGGAAATACACCACGAAGCACCTGAAATCCGAGCCAGTTGCTGCTACCAGGAAAAACCACTGGAATTCGGTCTCCTGTCAGAAAATCCGAAGCTGACTAAGCCAACAATGACAAATCTGTAGCAGCAAACCGTGTCCCCTCCCACCATTGTTTGCATGCCCGTCGCAAATCACACTCCGACGCTTTTTCACGCAAGGTGTATGAAGACGTCAAGGACTGGATTGAACAATATGACAGTGTCGCCCGCCACATTGGGTGGACAGACAACCAGCTCCTGCAGAACCTATACTTCTCGTGGAAGAAACTGCCGGCGCTGGTCTGAGAACCATGGGAAGTTTGCAAGATCGAGCTGAAGCGCGCATTTGTCAGCCAACATCAACGAGAGAGAGCCGCATTCTTGATTCTGTCCAGGACACTGCCCCAACGAGAGCGCCACCACACTCGTGGAGGATGTTTTGCGCTTGATCGAGCGCCCACGCCCACGCCGACCTTGATGCTACAGAAGACAAGCCCACGCCCCTCACGGGAGGGACAACACCTTCGGCAGCCTTGTCCGCAACCCCCAACAACAGTCGAAGTGTTCATATCACCGAGGCTTCCAACATGGAATGTGCACTGCATGCCCGAGCCTGGCACTATGAACAACTTCCCGGCGTCTCGACACTCGAGTTGTCCAGCTACTACTTCGACGCCAGCCTCCCAGTCATCCACGACATCATCCACGACGTTGTCTGGGAGGAGATCAGGAAGCTACTTCCTGCCATCAGTTGCCTGGCTTTTATTTTGATTGCCGAGATTGTTTCGGAACAAGTTTGACAGGTATTTCAACCGAGACTTCTGCGAGCGAAGCGGCATCTGACAAACCAAGGGCAACTTACGCCACAATGGCACGACGACCGCCACCGGCTGCCTCTTAGTATTCAATGCCAATTCAATGAGACACTCTAATGCCGAAGCATTCCCGACATCGTGTGTAGGTTTGTGCTCAACAAAGTACACCGAGGAAAACGTAGGTGATGCGAATGTGCGACCGAAAACCGCTTTGCTTCCACTGCATGAAGCCGACCATGTCTACCAAAGCAGCCCGTACCAATGAATTGGTCTGTGATGGTTCGTGCCAAACGACCCTCGATTACGTCTCGAGGAGCGACCACGGGAGATTAAGGATTACCTTCGGCGACCTTTGTCCCTGATGCCGAAGGTGCTGAATCGAAGATTCTGAATCCCTGATTACCCCGAAGCTCCTCATGTCCATCACCTCAACAAGAGGTAAGTACGACAAAGCAGGTGAGCGGTGATGCAGTGACAGTGGATTTGGTGTTGGTTGTCGTCCAAGGACAATACCTAAAAATTTGCTGACATCAATTTTCTGTGTCCACTCCACGAAGCACACAATTTCCAACTTTGAGGGAGAATGCCCCTGAGTGACTTGAAGGAATAGAATGGTTGGTTGCTCTCAAAAGTGAACTGCAAGCATCACCAGACTTGGATAGCAAACAAAAATTGTTGCCAGCTATCAAGTCAACGGTACAGCAAAAGGCACAGCCACATAAGCAATACATGCCCGAGCTTGCTGCATTGATGCCGAAAACTACCAGGAAAATTTTCGGATTAGAAGCCAGCCCTGCAGCTTCAGTGCATCAGACGTCGGTGGCCGCACATGACGTATGATTACAAGACAGCATCAGTCGGTCAAAGTTGCCACTCGACCAAACTGAACACCGACGTGCCAGGAGCGTCATCCGACAACAAGGTCCACAGGTACTACGACTGAACGCCTGACACGAGACTGTCGCAGAAAGAACTCGTTATGGAACCATTTCCTAAGAATCAATAATTATGTAATCAAGTGGAAATAAACATATTTGATCCACTAACCAGATAAACATATTTCCGCTTGCCTTCATGCCTTGAGAGTCTACACACCGAGAATTGTGTCCACTGCACGCTCTGGACCTTACGAGGACACTCGCATCTCTGACCCTTCAATATTAATTAAGGGGTCATACCAGACTGGCAGACTTCTTGCAAGGGGCTGCACTCGTTCAGACTTTCCTGAACATGTGGTGCATCCGAAAACCAACTCCAGAGATGTGAAAATGTTATTTATTAATTTATTCCTTCCAGGGGCCTTCATAGACATTGCAGAGAAGATACTTAAAACTACACACATGATAATAGCATTAAAGCACACTGCTGTAACTTGTTAAATGGAGAAACAAACACACCTCTGAGCATATAGTTTAAAAGTATGTGTTGATGCATTGTTATATAGCATGACACTTCCTATATGTATGACACAATAGACCCTTTGCAGAACCTTATCAAGCAACACAACTGTCACCATTTGTTTCGGCGTAAAGCACACGAATGGGCCCCAGTTCACGTCGAGCTCTAATGCAGCATTCGAGTCCAATACGTGCTGAGCCGAATTCACAGTGATGGCGGACATAACATTCTTGTCAAACAAATGACCAAAGTATGAAAGCCTGGGGTAATTAGAGTAATAGCTACTGTAATTCGTTTCATCACAATTTGGCAAACGGCAAAGACTACAGTCTCGGTGAGCCAATTTGCACGTTGGAGAGAAGCACATGACAACATGTCATTCAGAGTGCTTGTCTGCACAGATTTGTCACATACCTTCGCTCTGTTTCTCTGATTGGCTCGAGGGGGCTGTGGCGGTTGCCCTTTTCCAGGTTACAATGATACGAAGTATAGGCAACCCACACTTTTTAAAAAAGTCTATTGAAGAAACCGAAAGGAATGGTAGTCAACATTTTTCAACAAGACTGCTCTCCAGGCAAGGGATGAACACAAATATGAATCATCTTACCCAGGTAATTAGAACAATTAAATAATTGACCGACTAATACGATGCACTCTTGATGGAAAAGAGTATAGCTGCAATAAATCCTACAAAACAGAAAAAATGCGCAGTTAATCTATGCATGCACCAAAACAGTTGTTCTTATAGCAAGTCGAATAGCTTTGAAGCAGGTGCCTGCAACGATTTATTCTTCCCCACACTCAGTAAAACGCCATCCCCGTAGCTGAAAATAAGGGTGCACTTTGCACTCACACACACACAAAAAAAGAGGAAGAAAAGCGATCGAATGTAGAATCGTGGATTAGCACAAAAGAATCGCAGGAGCTTCCTCGCTAAAAGTTGCTATGGTTGTTCGGTGAAGGAGGGCTGAACCAACTTCCCTTAGGCCCTAACGCGACGTATACATTTCGCGTAGATTCTCAGATATTTCAACGTTCAAACAAAGCTAAGAGAATGCGAAAATTTCATGTTAAAAGCACTCAAAGTTCTATCGGTCCTCGGACACATCCCGGAATCCGAGCACCGGTACGGCGATGCTGTCTCACAGGCGTTAATATCCAGATGATGCAGAGCGATCTTGCGCAAAAACGGTATAAAGTCTCATTCCTCAGCGAGCACGAAGAAGCCCGAAGTCGTCGGAAAGCAGCTGCACATCACGGCTACCGCGCACCGAACAAACTCGCATCCGCCAGCTCTGGGCGCTGCCATCTTACCTGTGACGTCACGGCTCTTGGGAGGTCACGTGACGAGTGGTCACATTTGCGTAAAATATGGCGGCAACCGGGGGGGTGCCACTTCCGAACTTCCGGTTTATCACTCTAAGCCCCTCTACCTCGTTGAGTCCAACACACCTTTTTGTGAGGGTGTAGGGGTGTGAGTTATAGACACTCAAAACCACCCTTAAGGGTGTAGAAAGTTTACTGTGCACCTTTTTGTGAGGGTGTAGGGGTGTGAGTTATAGACACTCAAAAACACCCTTAAGGGTGTAAAAAAGTTTACTGTGTACGGTGGTACCAACACCTGCCCGAGTCAGAATCGACCTCACCGCTGTTGGAGGAGGTGGTGCGCTCTACCGAACGTGAGTGAGAGCGTGGGTGCCGGCGGGTGAGGGACCGTTGTTGGCGACGTCGTGATAAGGGTGCGAGGGTGGCAAGCTGCCGACTCAGGGCCTCGATACGGTCCTCAAGGCGCGACAGTCTAAAGTCTTCTGATGTTGTTGCGGGCGTTCTATTGGCGACAGCGCTGATGCCAGCGGCCCCCGAGTAGTCGGCGACGCGGTCGGCAAGCGCAGCGAGCTTGTCGAGCGACATGTCTTCCGCGGCCGTCAGAACCGGAACCATGGTCGATGGGAGCCGTTGTAAAAACAACTCAAGCAGGAGGTGGTTGTTGGGGTCTTGGTTCGGGGTTCCCAGCAGCTGTCGCATTCGGTGGAGAAACTGGGACGGTCGTCTGTCACCGAGCTCCTCGGTGTTAAGGAGTTGTTGAAGCCTGCTGCGCTCCGACTCGGTCTTGCGGTCAAGAATGGCGGCCTTCAGTTGGTCGAAGGGGCTGACCGGATCCGGATTGGCCAGAATGTCGGCTAGCTCCTCGGCGACGTCGGCTGGCAAGGAGGACACGGTGTGAAGATACCGCGTCTCCTGGCTGGTGATGTGCCGGAGACGGAACTGGGCCTCAACTTGCATCAGCCATACGATCGGATTTTTCGGCCAAAAAGGTGGCAGCCGAAAATTCTGGATCACTGCCAAGGGTGAATGAAGGGCGTCACCGTCAGGAGCGTTGGACGTGCCGGCATCCATCGGAGCAGCAGACCTTGAAGGAGCGAGTTCGATTCCGGGTCACCAAATCTGTTGGGAGCTGGGACGAAAGGAACCAGCTCGGACAGCGTTTGGATTCGAACTGTTTTAATCGCTCGCGCTGCAGAGGCAGCTGAACCTCGTCGTCGTCATTCATGGCGTAGGCTGGCTTTGAGTGTCGCTACAAACCTTATTGAGCTCGATTTGTTCGATTCAGAGCCGCCATAATGAGATGCAGGCGACGGAGGAACTAGTTGCTCTCCTGCTTTAGGGACGAAAGTTTCTCCCCTTCTAAAGGAACATGGGTTACAAGACCGTTCCTCCCTTAGGGGAGGATTATCGATACCCTTTTTTCGAAGAGTGTAGGACGATTCATTTTGCTAAAAATGTGATGATATGGGAATTTCGTTGCATAACTAGCGTTTTACGTTTAAGATTGATAAGAGACATGCTCATCTGATGATGCATGTCTACAGCATAAGCTTTGCAGATCCAGAATGGGTGTGCTATAGGCTTCTAGGTTTTAATGGACCGAATTGGTGATTGTACGGCAATAAATATGGGGGTGGAAAACTGCCCATTAACTTGGTGAGTTTTGATCGTGACCATTGGTGTGCTGTAGGCAAATTAGGTAATGGCACACGTTTTCCCTTACCATGTGGTTTTAAGAAACATTGCATCTAGATGGGCTGAGATATCTATAATTCAAGGTTTAGTTGACCCCTCTGCATCATTACAGGAAGGCAGTCTCAAGCCGCGACGAACAGCAGTGAATATGCAAGGCATAATAACAGGCACCCGAGTCCAGGCGTGCAGTCCGCAGAAGCCAATTTGAGTCTAAAAATGTTTTTGTTTTGTTTAGTCTAGTTTGCATTTGATGTATAATCCGCAGGGTCTGATTTCCCCGCCCACAGCATAGTCCGCCAAGCTGGTGCGTTGTGTCTTCGTGCGTTTTTTCCTGGGTGGCTTTTTCTTCAGAAGTTCTTCGGCGAACGCTATTGAGCCTGAAGAACTGCTCTTGAGGCCCATATCCAGCCACTCAGCACACACACAAGCACAGAAAATAACACTCGGTGCCAAGTACAAACGAAGGATCTTGACGGAAAGCCGTCTATGCCAAACGAGCAGCGTCAGGTGACGGCGACTGACTACATTGTGCCCCTTCGACGCCTGCATCGCTGCGGTGGGTGGTCGTAACTAGTCGTAGCGAGATGATCTGCACTTTAAGCAAGAAATCTTGCCATACCATAGTCAGGATATGTGTGCAAGTGTTCGCCGACATGGGCTCTCTCACGTTGGTGCAGTTGTCATCAAGAAAGGTACATATCAACAATGTTTGCGCGTTTGAAGCTGAAAATATGACGCATATCCCTATTGAAAAAAAAAAAACGATTTGAAAACAGTTTGGATATGAACTGGCCAAACCCGAAATTAACCGGTTATAGTGGAATTGTACCGGGCGAATTGGAAATCAAACTGTCGAAACTGACCGAACTTGGAAAGTGAATTGTCCAAGCTGGCAGCTGAATTGGCTAAACTGTTATTTGTATAGTTCAAACTGGTCGCTAATCAAGCAAGACTGGTAGCTTGAACTGCCGACACTGGTCTCTTAATGTTCAAGCTGGCAGCCAAACAGTTTGAACTGGCAGTCGATCTGTTCTAACTGGCAGTCAAACAGTTACAACTGGCAATGAAACTGGTCTCACTGTATCGAAACAAGCCGTACCAGCCGAACTAAAGAAACTGCTCGTTGAACAGGTCAAGCTAGCAGTATGCCCAGTTTAAAATAATTAACCATTGGAATCGATCACATTGGCCTTTTTCATTTGGATCAAGTTGGTTTCAATGTTTCTAATTTTAACTCCCAAGCAGGAGAACCGCATTAATGACTGTCTTTTTTTCTACATGAGTGAATCGGGCTTTTACACTCCGCACAACGCAATAAAAAAAAACGAAAAAACATTAGAACAAGATTTATTAATTCTATAGGCAGATATGTGTTTCTAGAATGTACCTTGCCACCGCAGACACCACGTCCGGCCTTTACAGAACGTCTTCTCTATGCAGATGTCGCATAACAGACTAGTAGACCAAATACAAGCTTTATTTTGACGCATGTACAGTTGTACCTAGCTTGCAACTGTAGTTCGTGACAGGTCAAGAATTCAGTGATGCAATCGCCTCATAGAAGTTCATTTCCCTCTGCCCGCCAATCGTTCGCACATTGACTTTATCATTTTCCCACTTTCCACCGCGGCCTTTATCCACCCTGGCCTGCACCTAAAAGTCGCTTCCAGGCTCCAGCGCAAGCGCCCCAGAGCGAGGCAGGGAGTCTCCCACGTGATGTCGGAGAAGCCCGGGAAATGTGGCAGTTGCGCCTATGAGTCAAGCGCCTGGAATGCGCCGGTGTCCTGGGACCGGAGATCAGGCATTGTCTCCACGCGCAGCGCGGATGCCTTGAAAGGGGAGAGGTGTTCACGTGCCAGGACAGGGAGCGCGCGAGCCAATCAGCGCGCACTCTAAAAAATGTTTGTGCGTCTACTTTCCCTCACAACACCCGGAGAGCCAATCACCGCAACTTACGGAGGCAGCTCAGCGAATGACAATGCCGAAACATATGTTTAGACCAAAAAACGCAGTCTGAGTTGTGACATTAAGCAATGCAAAACGTCACGCTTGCACTGCTTAATGTGACAACTCAGACTGCGTTTTTTGGTCTAAAACGATGTTTCGGCATTGTCATTCGCTGAGCTGCCTCCATAAGTTGCGGTGATTGGCTCTCCGGGTGTTCTGCGGGAAAGCAGACTCACAGGCTTTTTTTAGAGTGCGGCCCTCGCGCCTGCTAGAAGCGCCAGTCGGCGTCGGCAGGCAACAGCTCCGGACACACACACACACACAAAAAAAAAAAGGATCTGGCGTGACGGATGGAACATGGGTGGTTGGGCCGGTTGGGTCTTTGTTTGGGGCTGCTGTTCGGCTTGGGGAGGTTACAAGTTGTCATCAAGCTGTGTATGTATAAGATAGTTTGTCGGAGCCTTGAGCGCTGCCTCTGCCGATGTTTCTTGTGACTGATGACGTCTTCCAGCTGAGTTCCACTCGCTCGCGAGCGAAATGGCTCCATCGCAGAATGGCTTGTTCGGAATTCGCTCCGTCCTCATTGCGGCGCGGGCAATGGCTGCCTCTGTCTCCGCGCCAGCGAGCCAGGTAAGCAGGCTCGACCATTTGGATTCATTTTCATAATCAGGTGCATGTTCATGGCTGAACTGCATGTAAGCTATTAAGCGAACGACGGTGACAGCGACGAGAGACGGAAATTTCCCACGGTCGGTCGTCGCGTCGCTCTGTTTTTGAATTTCTAGACGAGTTATCGTCGCTCATCGCAGTGGTCGCTTGCTGCCGTCGCTTCCATGCGGTTTGTCTCGTCGCTCGCTAAATCAATTACATGCGATTTATACTTGATTGACTCTAGAATGGCAATAAATGTACGGTTGGCGCACGATTCCATGTTCCCTCTCATACTGTTTATGATAGTGCATATTTTTTATTCGTGGCATTTGTTACATACCGTTTCAGAACAGACGGATGCAAATACACCTGCCATGGCTCTAATTGCTGATGTTTATTCTCATTTCAGATGCCTTGGGGTACAATGTTATCCACCACCGGATCCCCAACACTGCAGATGTGGTAAATCTCGCCTACTGGCTGGGACACATGAATAATATGACAAACTTTTTACATTGTAAATATGTTTTTGTTTATTTTTGCGGTCTGATTAAGTGTATTTTTTTGTGGAAATAAAGTGAATTTTATCAGTGTACGACCTGCGTTGCCAATATTACCAGTTAAACTGGTTTAACTTCATGGAGTGGACCAGTATACACAGTTGTATACAGTATTACCAGTATACACTTTTCACAGTAAGACCGATATGCACGGTTTCACAGTAAGACCAGTATGCGCAGTTCCGTTTGTCCAGTTCAACCAATATAACCAGTAACATTAAGCCTGTTTGAACTGGCCCAGTTTGAAAAATTGTTTAATAGGGCACCTTTGAACGAGAACGAACTGGCGCCGGCTGGCTTGTGGGCCATGGAAAGTGCAAGAGAGATTTGCGATTAGTTACGCCCAAGTAACAATCGCATGGGCGCCACCGTATCAATATTATGGCTACGTGCCTGGCTTGCACCCATTTTTTTTTTTGTTCATTACTGTAGGATTCAACTCTAAGCACAGTGTTAACGCAGAGTAAAAATAGCAGCATACTTTTGTTGGTTAGTTCTGATGATTGTACCAGTTGGTAGACAATTATTAAAAATAAATTGTTTAGAATATTGGAACAGAGCATATGAACGCAACACAGCGCTGTGTTCACATCCTCCGTCTTGTCTGTGCAATTCCCATTCTTTGTTTTTAAAATAATACATTTTTACTGATTTTTTGTTTGGTATCATCTGTACAGGAGTTCACTGTAACGACACACCTGACATTGCATTCACTTTGGGTGCAGCTCCCCCTTCCTTATGGTACCATCGTTGAGGAAGTGCAGGGCGGGCATCACTCTCACTCTTGTGGTGCAGTTCCCCAGGTTCCCATAGGTCGCAAGCTGCCATTCAAACTGAGTCAGGCCTGCCACCCTGCAGGAAATGTCAATTCCACTCTTTTAGATGTAGGCACCCACGGTTTGCGTGTACCTGAAAAAAGTTCTAACAGAGAGGAAACGCAATAGTTGGCCCTTTTTGAATGCATCTTTTTTCTTTTGCTGAAAACATACATAAAAGTCACAGGCTATTGTACATTCAATGGTGCGGCTTAATTGATGATATGAATATTTAGATAACTTCGAACATTTAGAGAAAATATACAATATCTTGGGTCGGACATAAAGTGTTGCTATGAACTATCATACACATTTACACATTGCC